TGAACCTGCCTTGGAACAACAAAACTTAAAGAAAACAGAAACCAATAGAATGAGATTATCATGTGATGAATAACTGTGAACTGCGAAAAAAACTAGGCCAATAGGGAAGGAGGTAGGAGTGTTTTATTAATGAGGCCAGCTGATCTGAACTGAAGCTGAGAAGTTGCGGGCGATGTGTGGCTTGAATAGTTGAGTTACCGGCCCGGGTCACGATAGACATATGTGGATGTGATGAGATTGAGAAATTCACATTAGCAATAAGTCGGAAGTTGTCTCTCAGAAGTGTGGTGTACGTTGAAATTAAATATTCTCACTGGTATATCTGCAGAGTCAAAGCTGTTCAGGGCCGGGAGACAGTGCTAATGCCCAGGACCAGACAAGCACCATAGTGAAGAAACTCCGAAACTGTGGGCAATGATTTGGTAGCGGAGACGGAATGGTTAAGCCTGAAGAAAGCGTTTGATGATATGCGCTTTAGATGATATGAACATATGATGATCTCGCTAGTCTCTTACACCGTCCATCCCTTTAGGCGTGGTCCAACTATTTTACCAAATTTTCATTCAATTGGAATCCACAGCTTCAATGTGATGCTGACCCTCAAATATCTCCGAAATTTTGGGCTACAGTTGGTTGAATCGATTGAGTATGTCTCTCTTCGATGTGGTACTAAATCGGCTCACTATGTAGTTTGCTTTTAACGGCGCTTTTCCCGTCACATGCGGTCCGTTTCAGCTAAACTGAGTCAATGGTATCGGTCCACAGAATTTGTTTTAAGGATACACCAAATATATTCATTTTTCAATGGTTCTCTTTCTATTGTTTCCTGAAAGCTCTTTGTCATTTAACAGGCTTGCCGAAGACCTGCTACCGGCTTCTGGACACAACTCGTTGCAAGGTTTTGATCCGGTGATAGTGTGGGCGCTCGTTCACAACTGAGTATTCCGGTTTCGCAAATTTTTGCATGAAAACTGGGACTTGCGACTGAATTTCTGTTTCTCGTCTGGTTCAACGTCCTTAGGCTGTTAGCGCGTGTCTTAGGGAGGTCCCTATCTTATTCATTTGCCCGTTCAAACATTCTGTGACCTCGATGCTACAGGGTTTCCCCGATTACCAGGAACTTGTTTGTTTACTGTACCAGAATAACCTCCGTCTTCCATCAACAAACTAGTTTAGCCTTCTGGGTGAAAATAGTGCCAATCCAGAGTTCCTTGGCATTACATGACACGACGATTGCGTCGGTGCCACGAAGTTTCACCTCCTCGCAATATTAATAAGGTAATTCGCGGTTACCAGTAAGTAAATCTCTACCCGTAGTGCTTCGCTTCCGCTAATTCTCGATTGTTCAATGTGGTAGCCTGATTTTGTGCCTTGGGTTCATTCACGCGTGCCACATAAGTGGTAACGGTTGACAGGAGGTAATTTTTGACGCAATCGCAGGCAATGACTGCTTTAGGTTTTATCGGCGTTCGCTAGTCCTTTTTGTTCCAGGCCTCTGGAGAGCAGCAGTTTGTGGCGTAACAAGCGAGAGCATGTACAGTCGTTCATACCTTATATGCAGTAGATTATATGGTTGCCAGCGTATCCCAAAGCCATCAGAAGCTTCGCAATTCGCACGTTTCACACCCCATTTCTTTGCAGTTTGGTCTCGTGGCTTCAGTCCTCACCTCATTGGGGAAAAATTTAGCTCTGCACCAGTTGACTGCCAGTTTGCAAAACGCGGATTAAGCACACAATCCTGTTGTTTTCTGAAGTGCACATTGGAAACAGTTTCCGTGACTACATTTTAGTGTTTTGTTTGCCTGACCGACCAGAACGTAGAAAGCCGTACTCATGATTTGTACCCGAGAGCCTGAGAAGTGGCTTCCGACATTCTGTCTAACAAGTCAAGTAGAACAAATTTCGGGTGTTTCCATCTTTTGCATGTTTCATTTCTGCAGTTCGGATAAACAAAGTGTTAGAAGTGAGGTGTCAGCAGTAGTATGACTTCGTCTACCCGCCCTCCTTTATGCAGCGAGTGAAGCGACCTGGCTGGTGACACCCCACGTCGGCCAATGTGGAATGATAATATGTTTAGCTAGACGTTTGTGGTTGTATTCAAGCTCAGGTAAAGTTAAAGTGCCTACACCTGCACAGGAAGGCGACTGGAGTACTCAAACAAAGTACTTGGCTCAAAAGCCGGCGAAATGTAACGGCACGACCGTTTATTTTTTGAGAACGTAGCGGAAGCGCAAGAGTGTACAGGAGAGCGTTAAGTAAAACGAGGGAGATGTTTCATTGGAAAGCACGCTATCAACAAATTCGTTCGGAAAAATGATTCGCAACGTGGTTAATATGGTTTTGTATGGAAACACGCGCGCACAACTGGCAAGTGAAAAAGAACAGACAGTGCTGGGTGCTGTTCAAGGCTCAGTGAGCGCTAACACATTGAATGCTTGCACATCCGTTGTACAGGGTCAGGCATGAAAGTCGATGGCAAGAAATAACAATGAACGCCATGTAACACGCATGAACGTGTCGTAAGTTTGTAGAGGCCCCAAAATGGTAAGCAAACACACGTCAGCGAGTGTGGACATAGGACGTCCAGTCCAACGGCGGTTAGTCAGTTAGACGTACCTGAGTCAAGTCCCAACATGGTGGACCAGGAGACTATTCAGCAGACCCGTACTTGTGAAGAAGCCTCAAGCCGAGTTACATGACTCCATCTTTCTTGAGCACAACAGTCATACCTTGTAATAACTCTTTTTTCACCAACGTCACCAACCGAGAAGCATTCTACGGCTCTAGAAAAACATTTTTAGCATTTTCTCAACAAAATCTCTTTTACGCCCAAAGACATGCAACATTTGGACGACCTGTGTATCGAAGAGCGCACCATTTTTATCGTCAGGATAAAGATCCCGGGAGAGTGCTTCTAAAAATGATCATGCCAGTAAGCCAAGTGGTTTGACTTCGAATGAAACAAATTCCGCAAAAACCGAGGGAAAAGATATGATTGAAATGAAAGAGTCCGAAAGAAGCACCGCATTACAAAGGCGCACTATCAATCGGCAAAGCCTAGTACTACAAACATCCCTTGGATGTATGGGCTCTGAAAACTACTCAAGGTTTGCTGTTCACTAGTCCCAGTAACTCAATCGACCACACCACTTCCAAATGGCTAAAAATTAATTCACGTCATAGCCTACTGAACAGATTCTAGTTCTAAGAATCTATTGAGTGTACATGCCATTAACATACCTCTCGTCACTACTTACCAGCTTCTCCTTTTCAAATCCTCTGAAGTCAGTCAAGCGATCCGATCAGCTCTTCACTTGGTCTCATCTTGGCTGATATTTTGAGAACACAGTTGGGATTTTAAAACCTACTGTGCAAAAGTTCTAATTTTACTAACGATATTTTGATGATAAACTTATTATCCCTGAATCCCATACTACAATTCTAGAATTACAAACGGTTTTCCAAACTGCCCATACTGCAGTGCGTTTTGCCGGGGAGGAGGGATCCAATAGAGGTTTTCAGTTTATTGATATTAACTATAAACCAGGATAGCATAATCCAGAGATGATCTACATAGGCTAGTCAGTATGCTGATTTTCGCAGCGTTTTGGGTACAAAGTAAAAAAGGAACCCCATAAGACATCTGACCTACAGATCTTGAAGGATCTGAAAAATGGTAAACTGGATGATGAGGGTTCTGTACAGCAGTTCGCACGGGCAAAGTCAAAACTCCGCCAGATAGTGAAGGTCCGATAACCTCAAAAAAGCTCATATATATTCAGCCATTATTTAAAAGCAACACGGCTTCAGAAAACGTGACTTGTCTGTTTAAGGCGAATGTTCAGTACACCCGTTGCCGACTGATCCATAGGAATCTCAAAGATAAAGTGCCTGTTTACGATTCCCCTACGGTTGTACATCTGCTAGTGAGCTTTCTGCAAACTACATGCTTCGAAAGAAGTGGTGCTTATCTCATAGAATCAAGAAACCCTTATCGATTTGCCAATCACTTGAAAAGCACTATCGCTACTCACCTTATCGGCACCGGCAACAGGGTCGATCCGTCTTGGCGATTCAGCGTAATCTGTTGAGTATCAGAACATCGGTCGATTCCACAAGGAATGCTCGGAACACCAGAAATTGTGGCCACTCGAAAAGCTGGCTCCTCTCTTTGCCTCTAAAAGCTGCATGTGGAAGCTCGAACATTGCTTTGCTCTGTCCAACAAACTCTTCCACCACTGATTAGCTGGTTTAGTTGATTTGATGCCACTGATATGACAGAAATGTACAGCATTTAATCTAGCTTTCTATTTCTCACAGTACTTGTCCGATGAAGCGCCATGGAGTACGATCGTTCGCGAAGTACAAAGATCCCTAAACTCCTTATCGAAGATGTGATTGTAACCCATAGAGATCCATCCTCATAGATAAATGGGTGAGCATTCTTGTTGTAGCTGATAGTATGATACTCATCGCCCTGGAGGCAGCATCTTTTGTTAGAGGCTTGCGGCAAATACAAGTCAGTTACGCTATTCTAAAGGAACGCTGCCGTTCGCAAGCCTATCACACCAGCGCTACACACCACTTTGTCCAAAAAAGCCGTATAAATCATTAATTTTTCACTATAAATACAATCGTGCTTAATGAATAGCCCCTACGGCAAAGTTCCCACCTGAATGGGGAATTAGCTGGTCATTTCTTAGACCACGAATTATTTTCTTGTGCGTTCATCACAATGGGAAAAATACATGACCAAAAATAAAGTTCTACACAAAGGTTTCTCCTGAGAAAGATGGAATATTAGAATAAAGTCACAAAATTTGTGCGAACTCAGTTAAGACAGCATGAATAAGTAATCACATAGGGATGCGTGTGTTAAATGGTATTCTACGAAACCTTCCATTATTTATAAATTTCTACCGCCACTGCGTCATGTTTGCTGGCTCGCTTGGAACGCTGGCTCTTCAGATAAAAAACGGTTCGTTTAAAAACACTTCGTCCCACACGAGATTAAATAGGCCAATTGGAACCGGTCGTAGTGCAGAGAAAGAATAGAGAGCTGGGCTTTTGCGACTGTCGTGCACAGTCACACAATCGTGTTCGATAGAGTACCGTTTCTAAAAAAATTGATGAATGAAGAGAGCTCTATTTTTTGCCTCAATACGTGTCAGATCAGGCATGATCAGTTCAAGAAATGATACAGCGGTGAACCGGACGAAAGGGAGTAAAACTCGCCGAAATTTTAATAGTACCAGCACCATTGGTATGATCGTCCGTCAGTCACAGGAATCTGACAACATATTCATCGTAAAAGCGTCTCAAGTTCATACACCAAAAACACAAATATAATCGTTATTTCACGAAAGCAACTCTAAAGCTGCAAGGCGATCAAGAATGTCCACGAGACCTTGCGGTGTACAAAAGATAGTCCAAAAAGTATAGTTCCTCAGGTTTGATGTAGTGAAAGGAGACGGGATTCCTGGCGCAACATCCGGTACCCTGAAGTGGAGAACACATGAAAACAGCAGATGCACGGCTGAATATGGTGACCGGAGCTTGGAAAATTTATTGATGCCACTGTAAAATGATACAGAAACTTTATTTAAAGTTTTTCTGGAAGAAGAAATAGTTGTGCGGTTGGTTGAGTGTCCAAAATAGTATGGTTTGAATCTGAGCTGATAGGAGAAGCGGTCCGTGGACTCAATTTACACCTCAAACTTTCACAATATGTTCTTAGTATCAACGGAAAACTTTGGTTTCACACTCCCTCGAAAGAGCATCACGGACAGACTGGACCTTATCGTGGTCCACAGAGCTACAATGGCGTATAATGCAGTATTCAGCATCACTTATCGGATTCGTCCTGCGAACATAGCCCCTTGATCCTTCAGGTAACTCGTTACTAGAATTAAGAAAGCCATGGCAAATTCACCTTAAAAACGATTACCTTGCTGCTGTGCTTTTGGGCTTCAAGCTTCGATTGATTATTCTCATCGTTCTTTTGTGTGAGCCTTGAAGCTCTGAACCGAAATTAACCACGATATATTCTTGCACAAGTAAATTCACAGCATGTCACTTGTCGCGTTGCGACAACAACAGGAACACCCGGTTCGTTGCATGCAACAGTGTGCAAGCAGGAACATGCTTCCATATTTCTTCATTATCGATCACCTATCTCAACCTTATTCAGCCGTATGCACATCAAACGGTCACATCCTACGCTTCGTATACTTTTCAGACTCCGATCTCGAGCTTTTAGTGCAGTCATCACCGTGGAAAATCTTCAGCCAAGAGTCCAACAGGCCGTTCGTGAACACTGATTTCAGTGACTTTGATAGGTAATTGCTGAATTTCTGGAAATCAGCTCATGATCCAAATAGTAATGATATTACAGCAACCTCGCTATCTGGATGCTATTGACCGTGAACTTCAGCTGATTTTGTGGCTGCGTCAGCTGCTTCGGTCAGTACTGGTATAACACTTAGTTCCCAGACTCAACTGGATAACTGTATACACCCAACGTTGTGACATCCAACGTCGAACTCAGTAGGAATTCGCACCAACCGAATTCGTATCTACAGTATCTATTTATCAACTTGTCTATCTATAGTATCCAATTATGGAACAAACATCTGTAGATTTAAATCAACGAGACAATTTCTAGTGAGAATGAACAACCCGTTTGTTCACCACAAGCGATTTGGAGATGGCCGAAGTAGCCAGGGATCCCCAACGCACAATTAGGCTTCCTCAGCACATCAAGGGGACAATTTTTTTGTCCATACCAAGAATCAAGCGCAAGCTATTATAGCGACCTCTGTCTCTGAACTATGAAAAGTAAAGACAATGCAGTACATGATGATAAGGCTCAGTTGGTAACTGTCCACAACTGATGAAACACGCTGCGTTCGAATGTCAGGTGGACAGTTTGTGTTTGTACAGAGATTCGTGGTGGAACCGAGAGGTCCAACAAAGGAAAAATACCAGTGCATTCGGGATGCGTGGAAGCAAACTTTAGGCAATCTGTCATGCAGGACCCAAGAGAACGGTGGTTTGAAGAAGAAATTGGAAATCTTACATTCCGAAAAACACAAGTCCGGATTTCTTGGAGGAACACTTCTAAAAACAGTTGATTTAATTGTCATTTGGTCCAATAGAACTGTCACAATCGAGCAATACTCAGTCAGTTTACCGGCAATAATATGCCTTCCTGCCTTGAAATGTTTTCCGATTGTGAGACCAAGGGAGTTAACCATAGACTTATTCAACGCAACTGATGAGTCTCTGGATTAGGCTTTGACCAAGTTGTTTGAACTTAGTTGCGAAGGAGAATGTATTATAGAAGACCGTATAAAATCTGGAAAGCCCGAAGCAACTGTTTCAACCATAAAGGTGTAAGTTATGGCGTGATCATTAGCTCCTCTAAGGACGAGATGCCGAACTCCAACAAACGCAACGCAAACACAAGCGAACAAAACAGGCTTTGAAAGAACAATGGGGAAATTTTGTTGAACAGCAGACACCGCAAAAACCGTGGTCCTGAAACTCTGCATCTACGACAGAACATATATACATCAAACCTATGCATCAAACCTATAACTTATACGCAATGAATGTTTGCTTCTTCGTCTACCATCGAATCTATCCAGCTCGCTTAAGTTGAGTAATTAGATACAAGAGGATTGTTGTTCAACGAAGGCTCTCTTCTCAACATGATTAAGGTATACACCAGATTATTCCACCAGGGCTTTTCCCCCACAAAATAATACGTGAAATTGTAAAGTCAGCCGGTATAATCATCAAGACTATGTGGGTGAGATGCTTTTCCATTTAACAAGCTGTTTTTAAGGAAGACGGATAAACATTTCATGAAAACTGGCCCGGCTCACAACCTGTCCTGCTAGACTACCCAACAATTTGTCGGTATGCATTAGGAGGGTCATCCATGCGGGAAATATATTTTAACCTAGTTACAGAACTTGAAGATTGAAAATCAATCCGGATTTTGGAAAATCCCATCTCGATCACCACCAACCAAAAGCTCTCTGATTGTTAGGATAGCGTCAGTAACACGTCAACTGTTCATGCGTTCATCGAACAACAATCCCACCATGTTTCATCTGGCAGTGTACTCAAGAGATAAGGTTGTAAAATGAGACATATAGAGTGTTTAGTTTAAATTAGCTATTACTGTCGGTGAGAACAGACTCGTTATGTCACTGAACGCATTAACCCTCAATGGACTATGTAAATTCTAATACGCAAAAGTGGCTCATGGTGGCTCGATTGCTGAACACTTTCCCGTTGAGCATCGGCTCAGAATGCACTCATTGTGGATGCAATGGTGTTTACTATGTGAGTGGAGATGTCCTCTGCAGGTCGCACCTACTCGTCAGGTCATTGCGGTGCGGAATAGGTATATCGGAGTTCAGGACACTTCCATATATTCAACTGCCTGGTTTAAACGACCATTAGGGCTCCAAAGGATAGTTCGAGTCCGGAAAACTCTATTCAACTGTTTAACTAGTGATTGCAAATTGATGGGTGAAAGTGGTTCAGTTGAATGATTAGGAAAGTTTTACATCAGTGGACATGATAGCCGCAATATTGCTGCGTAGATTGCGTGAAAGATTTCTGAAATTGTTTCTCTCTTTCGAAAGCTTAACCGCCTCAACCAGATGATCGAAACTAACCGACATTGTTGGAGTCGTAATGGAGGGTTTGGCTGGCCTATTAATCTGAAAGTCTAAATCTCTGCATTCTGACTAGAAGATGGCGGTCCTAGCAAGAAACAACCTGACGATGCTTGAGGGCATACAATACGAAATATGTGGGTGAGTGAGTGCTCAGGCTCGTGTACCGAACGATAACGTAAAACTGCTGGAGAATCAGTTCAGTTGATCCCGGTCTCTCATAGCACCGCATACGACATTGAGACAAGCTGAAGCGAAACAAGTTTTCGTGAACAACTCAGTTGCCACTTAGCTCAACTGGTACATAGGTGTCCAGTACCGGCAAAGTTAATCATATTCTATCATCGAAGTGAAAAGTTGGGCAGTTTGGTGATCGCTGAATTTGGTTGGGTACCAATGGCCTGTCTCAACCTGTTCAACTGACCTATGTGAACAAGTTATTTTGTAAGACAAATTCATCCAGAGTTGAACTCTGCTAACCTGGTTGTCCTCCCATATTTCCCTCTGAGTCAGCTGGGCTTCTTTTGATTTTTATTGGCCCAGTGTTTACAGCGCGAATTTACTGACTGGAAGATCTGTGTTTCGAACCCGACCTTCGTCTCTCGAATTCCCCTGTCTATGTTTGGGCATTCTGGCAGTATCCCAGCCCTTGAGGCACCAAATGGTAAACGATGAAGGAATGAAGCGTTGATTGGCGATCACTCCAAATATAACATGCAAAGCCATGATTACTAGTGTAACAAGATCTTGTCCTTCCATAACTTTGAACGACACATCCTTGATCTCACTCCGCTCCATTTAGAAGAGAGTTGAACTCACCCGTCCTACTAAACCTGATTAGTTTCGGTAGTTTCTTTACCCATGGATACAATCCACCGATGTCAAAACCAAGAAGAACTTGTATTCCTGGTCCAATAGGCCGACACATGTCACACCTTAGAGGTCGAAAGTTATATAAATTGCACCTTCAGACTACCTGTAGGTAGTTTGCGCACTCTTCTGTCCTGTATGAGACTTACTTCCTTATGGTTATCGAAGGTCAGTTCAGCAGACAGCCCATGGTTTTTTAATCTTTCGAATGGAGAGTAGCAGTAGAAGTGATAGTGGCCATTCTCATCCACGCTATGGATTAATTGGATGCCAAGTTCTTCAGCGCAAGCCCCTGTGGAAAAGAAAACAAGAGGAGCAAGGGAGTTCGAGTAAAAGGGACTCCTGAGCCGGTGTGAGAACTGGAAATGACTAATCAGAAACCCCACTGAGTTGAAATTGAACCTTCACAAGAAAAACGACAATCTCACACATTAGTCAATTCCATAAGACATCCACAATATCTTGTACGGTGGAGCACTATATGATGAACCATCCTAAAAGAAGCCTGTATGTATAGGTGAACCTTGGGGGGAAATCAGGAAATCAGGACCTCTACATTCAAAAAGGTCGTTCTAATTTAAAAGTGGAAGCATAGGAAGTACAGGTCTCAGATTCATAAGCCACACTGTCGGGCCGTGAGCACAAATATATTAACCAATGCATTCGGTCGTTCTAATTTAAAAGTGGAAGCATAGGAAGTACAGGTCTCAGATTCATAAGCCACACTGTCGGGCCGTGAGCACAAATATATTAACCAATGCATTCAAAACCCTGAGTCTTACGTTGAGCTGTAAAGAAGAGGGAGGGTGAGAGCATATGTGCAGGAAACGACTGCTAACTCAGATCCATTGTTCACATGGTTATCAGATATCAACGTAGGACTTTGGACTATATTTTGGTAAAATAAGGTCAGATATGAGGAGGCAAGTAGGCTAGAGTAGAATGGGACATTCCAGCTGAAACATTTAGAAACCACGGTTTTGACAATATTCAGGGGAAGGGAAGCCACGCGGTCTATCAACAGTTTAAGTATTCATGTTTACTCGAGTGGAGTAAGCAGCAGAAATCTTCGAAATCAACTGAAATACCGTTCTCTAGGATGTACAGTATGTTGTTAAAAGCATCCTGTGAGTTCAAATGAATTCAACTAGACTTCTAACAGAAAGCAATCGGATGGTGCAATACCAGTAGCTCTATCACCCTTATGGGCTATATCAATGGTGGTTACGTTGAAGATTAGCTAGCATCGACTTCCGGATATTTACACTATCGCTCACGCCCTATCTAAGACTGTCAATCATACTTAATTATTGTTTATGCTGCAATTCCAGGGTTGTTTTCAGTGAACGTGAAGATCTGGGTGCCTGAGTGAGTCACAGACAAATATAATCGGTATCAGTAGTGCCTCCTGTGACTTAAGTGCATCCAAAAAGTGAGGATGGAGCCCCGAAACGCGCTAACGTCAAACTATTGGATGTCGCTAGCACAACCCCAACATGATAATTGGGGCATTTTGCCAAAGGCGTTTCCGATGGTGCATCTGGCGATGACCGAGATACCTCAGTTACGATAACGGATCCGCGATGAAGTGGTTTCATGCCAAATTCTTATAAAAAACTGTTGGCACTCGATGCCATGTTGCGGTGCGTTTGTCTAAACACAAGCACACAAACCGCTTCATTTTGAAGTATTTTGTGGAACCTGTGGCTTTGTTCTTAAAAAGCAGTAGAAGCGCCACAGAAGCTGTTCGGCTATTTAATGAAATGCAAAAACTGACCCTGGTCCAACCTTGGTATCCATGCCTCACAGATGAGACATGAAAGTATTTTCAAATCAGCTGTAGACACACAAATATACTCCATACAATTCCTCTCATTACCATTGTAGAGTTGCGCTCTCCGTAAACTGCTGATCTACCAAAAGGCTTCGTGGCAGTTCGAGTAAATAGCAAATTTGATCCTAAAGAAATAACGATAGGTCTTCGGCCTATCCAGGTATTCAGTGACGGACTCGAAAACGACACAATAAATAGGTGTGACGAGTTCTGGCTTGATGCGTTTTCTACAGCCGTAGGCAGTGACCATTGTAGTACGTGATAAACTCCTAAAGGTGGAACGAACGATGCGCCTGTCGTTGAGATTAAGGAATTACGAAGACGTGGTACAAATATTTCTGTATAGAAGAGGAACACTTGTCTTGAAGGGGATGACAAGCAAACATGGCTATTGGTTGTGTTCAAGATGGCGAACGGGTGTCACAGTGAACACGACGCGTACTGAATGCATCAACTTCAGTCACGGTCCTTTAAACGGTACCTCAAACAATAGATGAAACTGAAACACGTATTTCGTACAGAAATGACTGACATCACGCAGTAAGGAATTTCATTTGAAATGGATTATCAGGTCGACCCCGGGCACATATAGTGCCAAGCAAGCACGATGACAGCTGTGGATAGACTAATTCTACTGACCGGAGTAGATTTGAAAATGCACCGAGGTTCACATCAGCTATCTTAAAGAACTCTACCATCTTCATGCATACTCGTGCATTCTAAGCATCAGTTAGGCGACCACGAATCTACACAGTGGATTAGATGACATATTTCTGGGTTAACTGTTGTGAAATCCTATTGACCGTTGATTCGCCTGGTACTCTTCCTGAATACTGGACACCATTCTATCACACACCACCAGGTATTGTGACAAAATAATTATCTGACAATCTGCGCACGCCCGCAAGAATTTGTAGTCAAATGGTGAGTATCAGCTGTTCGCACAACAACAACAACAACGCTAAAGGAATCCTAGGAGGCAGAAAAGATAGTGCAACACACTGTCAATGTTACGCAAGTCTTGGTGTTCTGTGAGGCGCGCTCCGAAAACAGTGTGTACCAAATATGTTACGTGAGGACATTGTCGGGATCACATTTAAACATGAACGTAATATTATGAAGCCTGTCTATCTTTATACAGTGCATGACCGTGACTCAAACAATTTAGAGGCAAGGATGGGTCTAGTCTGCATATGTTCACCCACTGGTCGTTGAATTCAGCATCTAAGCGCGAGTGGCAAAATACACTGTCACACACCAACGTCTACATCCTGCTGCTTTAAGTGTTCATTCAATGAGCGCATCTTTTGGTTGGCAAGTTCCTATGATCGATAATGTAGGCAACCAATTCCTAAGCATAAGTCACGCCTATTATGGACTGATTGCTCCTTTGGCTTACCGTACCATTTACTTCCATCCACTTTCTCTCCTATGATTTAGACAAAAATGTGAAGATCGAATTTATCGATCTACTTGGTTCATCAACACTTCTTCATTAATGACACCATGCTCACAAATTTAGCTTCAATTGGTTTTTCGTCAACCCTGAAAATCCATCTAGTTTTTCAGCAGTGTTGATCCAAATGATTGTTGGTCCTATTCTTTGGAACTTTTTGACAAGACAGTCACATGCAACTCCACTTTGCAGAGTCAGGGTTAGACGCAATTTAAGCTAAAACAGCAATTCACCAAATTGAAATTTGTGGTGTGATTGGCCTTAAGGCAGTGAAGTATCAGTGTTCTTCTCTGATGATCTTGCCAGTGACGGCGATGGTGAACTGTAGCTTGATGACATCATAACACCAATGGACTAGGAAAGTTAGATAAGTATGACCATCTTAGCTGGTGAAAAGTGTATAACACATCTAGTCGCTGGACTGAATACGATAAAGGAGAGGGCCTAACTTCAATACCGTTGATCAGCTTGGTATGCGTGCTGAGACCCTCTAGCTACGGCAAAGCGAACTAGATCAGTGTTGAGTGCTTCACGGAAGATAAAATTTCTTCAAAAGCCGTTGATGATTGAACAAAAAATTCCTACGCCAAATTGAGGCAGTTGTTTGAGGTTTTGTTCAACCAAGTAACATCCATAACTTATCATACTTTTATCGAAATCACTCGAATCCAATTAAACTTCTTATTCTTGGTGCCCAATTGAATTCAAATCTTGCTGCATTGCTGCCACAGCCTGGCAATTTGTTGGCGAACCTGCGGCGAAAGCATCCTGATCCAAAAGCTCAGGTTTCAAGTTTACAAAAGTCTCACGGGCTGCCATTAGAAGAACGAGCTTATTATTCTGTTCATAGCTGGCCTTGTGCAAGTCCTCAGGCAATCGGGTTCCGTACATTTACCACAACATCAGTTGCCACCTTTATCATGTAAGAAGGAAATGGAGCAACTTTTTGGACGTCGAATGTGGGGTAGTCTTTACATTACGCATTTGGGAGAACAACACAGACGAGTTGCTCCATCGCTATTATACACGACTAGCAGGAACAGCTAGTATGCGGCAAATAAACTGATTTCTATTAAAGGGTGATGCTATCGTAGGTTTGGACTTTGTCGAAAGAAGTCTCTGGTCATCATCGTGTATCTTAGGATTTCCGATTTAGATTAGTGATTTTTCAGGGTCACAAACGTGTGACGTAATCACCCACGCCATTGTGCACCTACACCACGCTTTCAGGACGTCATCTGGCAAGTATTGTGCAGCGAGTACAATAACATTCGTACTACAGTTTATCTCTGGCTTGACGTTGCTTATGAAATATATTTTGTTTTGTTCAAACAGCAGATGGTCGCGTCTGTCAGTCAAATTCTGTTTGCGTTGCCGAATTACGGAGAAATTACTACCTGTTTTAATTAGACTAATTTAAGTCCCCTAAAACTAAAAATTCTACCCTTGTCAATTTTGTAGAGAATGCCGCTTCCGTTGCTGTGCAATGTTAAATAAACGTGAAACTTTCATGTACCCGAAGTTTTACGAGTCGTTCTCCACGCACATAGTCAGAACAGCTCCGGGAAATTAGAATACTACAGGAAACGAAATAATTTTACCATTACTTGTAAGCATGCGAAAAAACGCAGAAACGGATAAATACCGATGGCATCCACAGTCAACCAGTGGGCCCACCGTACCAGATAGCTTGGATAGGAAGCACTGTTTAGTTTGGCCAATCGACGCTCAAATTGAATTCATACGCAAGTGCTCAAATACCAACAGTATGTTTCTCCGAAGTGAGAGCAATCTCCGATAGCAATAGTTTCCGCATAACGAACAGAAGTTGGTCATCAGTTAGCTGAACAAGATCGGGAACAGCGAAAAAGTGGTGGCTGAACGGTCACGTCTGAGTGCACTGATTTCTATCGCTTTTAGTAGGGAAAATGAAAAGGGATGATAAAAGACCTGGCAATTGTTCACAACCCATCGTTTGATTGGGAAATCTTTCCTATTTGACTGTGGGTATTGCCAAATAGAAAGTGTAGATTTCCGGTTTTCAATCATCTATACCCCGGAATGAGTGGCGAGATACATGAATCACACAAAAGTGTTGTGCTGTCGTAAATGTCACCAAAAATGGAATACAAAGATCAAGAAAACGAGTAAGCTCTGATTACGCACCGGTTGCATTGAGTTGTATGCTTTTTCATGTTTGGCCAAGAGGTGAGTATCGTCTGTGTCTGCATAGCCTGTATGTTTGTGCGATAGGAAGTAAAATCACTAGTATTTGTCTCTCATCCCAGTGTCCTGATGGCAGCTCTTAACAATTTAGCTGAGATGAAAACTCTTCAAAATTTTCCGAAAAAGGTTCTCAAAAGCAGCACCTGGGTGTCAACGTTTGTGCGACTCATTAATACCCACAACGCGTAAACCGGACTGACGGAGATCGGATCAGCACTGACAATTGAAACGACCCATAAGAATGTTAGCTAACAAAAGACAAATCAGTAGTAATTTCGCCTCGTGTTGTGTCACCAAAAATGCAAGTCACCACATGCAAGTTCCAGATCGTAATCACATTGAGTCATTAAATGGTGCAACTCAATCAATCGAAGTAACATCACTGTGTGATTAAGATTATGACCCTATCGGACGTGAGTGTTTCTGCCGACTGAAAATGGAAGTTTACGAGATGAACCAACTCGAAAAAATCGACAGAGTTTGACCACAGTTTGTTTGTTGATGTTAACCTTTCTGGACAAAGGTCAACGGCTTACCGAGTTTCAAATCTTCAGCGAGACTAAACCGTTGGTCATAACACATGCTCGTATTTTTCATACCCTGGACGATGAGTCTGAGGGCAGCTCGTGACATGACGTATCCGGCACCCCCCGATGGATAACCTTGTTTTAGGAAGGACTGAAACCAGAACAACGAAAACGAACAGAGGCGCATTGAGCGTATCAGCAATCAATCATGTGGCTTGAATATGAGCTGCATGACAAGTTGGGGTACCTTTGATATAGTACAGTAAAGCATAGTCCAGAATGCCACATTAGAAGCAGTAATGTTGTGAAATTATCCCTATTTGATTTTTGCGCAAATTGTACCGCTATCGAGCTCACACGCTCATCATACAGAATTGTGAAACGCAATAAATTCTGTCTATCATATTTTTGCAGAGTTGAACACAAGCAATGCATCGAATTTTTTTCCCGCAGGGATGTACTTGTTCATGTAGTGCCAATCGAGACCACATTTCAGGGCTTTTTAAGCGAAAGTGTAGGTTAATTCGACTCAGGTCAGGTTGAAAATCATGAAGCGTGTACGTTAGAAACAGTGTTACATGAGGCAAAATAATTCGGGTCATGACTTGGTGCAATACCGCTCCCGTAGAAGTGTTTCACAGTGTCATTTTTGGGAATCGAAGGATAGCCACTGCCAACAGTTTTACTGTCAATCCCTATTCCAAAGTGCAGTCCCGTATTAAAGACATTATTGGCGGCTAGATCAACGGTTTCTGAACGGGCCTTGATAAGCAGGCAAGGTCATAATTTTGGGTGTGTGGTAGCATATGTTCAAAATATATCTTTACATCTGGGTGACTAGAATGTCATTTTCTTCGGCATTAATCTGTCTGGGAGCGTTCAGGTCCCCCAAGCACCGGGCCACTTCACTCTCACCTTGAAAGCACGCTCTTCGGAGACATTCTCTTGGGGGAAAAGCACCATATTTGGTGCTCAGTATCATTTAGTCGACTAACGCGAATGAAATGAAAGTCGGGTTGGATAGATACGATAAATTCCTCATTCAATGTTCGTTGCATACTATAACCAAGCACAGCTCCTGAAGTCCACATGTAAATTTCGATGCTACTGTTTACCGTGAAAATATCAGTCAAATTTAGGCAACTGGGATGGCCGAAATAGTCCAAAGTTGGTACCGTTTGGCAAGATTTTTCTGGCGGTTGGGGGGGGGTGGCAATTCCTTCTGCCCGGCATTTTCCCTACATGGAAACCAACAACTTTCCGTGACAAATGGATTTTCTATAAAGATGGTGTAGTCTTCAAAGTCAAACATCTTGAAATGTGTGCTCTGCTATCCCACCAGAGAGNGGGGGGCGGGGTGGCAATTCCTTCTGCCCGGCATTGTCCCTACATGGAAACCAACAACTTTCCGCTCCAAATGGATTTTCTATAAAGATGGTGTAGTCTTCAAAGTCAAACATCTTGAAATGTGTGCTCTGCTATCCCACCAGAGAGAAGGGGGCTTCGGTGCCCCTATGGGGTGGTGGTTTAAAACATTGTGCTAAATGTTTTCCTACCCATGCGAAAATTCCAGTCGACATTTGGTGTTTCTCTCCACTTCTTTCTGCAATAATTCAGGACTGTGCTAGCTGTTTTCTCTGGTGAGAACTGCTCCAGTAATATGGTGCTGATTGAAATATGGTTGATAACTTTTTCGAACCGAATTCTCCACTGTGGTGAGTGATTATTTTCGACAGCATTGATACTACTGAGCCACAGAGACTTTCGAAGGAGCGAATGGGAATGCATCGGGTTGAGTTTTACGGATGGAAGATGATGGGCTTATGAGTAGTGCATTTCCTCGGCCGTGCCGCAAATTGAAACTGGCCACCTGATATGTGTTCTAAGACAGCCGCTATCGGCGCACACTAGTAGGACCTAAGTGACCCAGTCTAATGAGACCAATGTGTTCACATCTGGGCAGTTTAACTTGGATTGATTGTTGCCGGACAAACAATAAAAGAAAAAAGATCTTTTTCAGGAGTAAACTAGTCAAAATCACGACGGACAGGAGAAATGGGGGTTGACTGGTGCATACCAGTATGCCGTCAACCTCGACGAAACTGTTTGTTTCGTCAAGGCGTGACAATCCCATCTGTGTGGGTTGAAGCCTAGATCATCTAGTCATCTGTCTATATGTCCGACCACAGAGGTTGTGGACTGACTATCGTTTCGGTTTATCCGAAGCTTCCGCACAAAATCGTTATGCATGCATTATCGGGCTTTCGTGAGCTGGCTGAGGCCGGTCAGCCAGATGTAATGAGTAACAGGTTGGTTTTACTACATTTTTTGAAATTGTGATGGATTCTGGGGAGGAAATCGTCCAAGTTTTCGTATCCTACACCGCGCCTTCCAGTTGCCCGTGCGTATATTCTCGACAGCAGATTCTGTATATGCAACCAGTTTGATAACCTGAGATGATGATATCGTTGGGAGTACCAAGCGATTTCGAACTGTGCTGCCAATTTTGAAGGTTGTGCGCACATTAGATTGTGCCAAGACCATAACCAGTTGGTTTATGACACAAAGTTACGTCAAAACCTGATACTATGGCTATATGAATACAGTCCAAGAACCTGAGAGAATAGTCTGCGCATTTAAATTCACAGCTTAAACTGTTACAAGTGTTCAGTGTAGCAAGTCAGCTTGAAATTACCGTTTTAGGATCATGAAGGTCATCAACCTGATGCCACCAACTACGTCGCAAATGTGGAGACTGGTTCATCACCAGTTTCTCTACGTATATGATAAAAATATTTGCCAAGGCTGTAGCGATGGAAGGGATCATGGAATTTCATCTGTTTGTATGTCCGGGATATGTTAAAATGTGAAGCGTGAGTGTGGTTCAAGTTCGATCTCCAACAGTATTTGGTTAGGTGAAAAGTTGATGCGACTAGCTACAGATACTTCATTTCCTAACAGAACGTACAAAGTGTTTCAAAACTCTGAGTGACAAGTGCACTGATATATACAGAAGATACACCGAAACCGAGAAAGATTTCATTCTTACGCAAGGTTCCTCGATTAAACGTAATACACTACGCATAAAGTTGATGAAAACTCCCCGAAAGCCCACGACCAGTTTTGCCATTCTTGAGCTTCATCAGGTAGGTGCAGTCCCTGAATTTTCATCAACCTTATGTTCTGATTGAAATCAAAGTGCAATAAATCCGATTTATACGCTCGTCTGCATCACAAGTAGTGCATTACGTCTACACAGTGTATTACGATATCTCGTGTATAGTATCAAGTGAAACATGAGACAGCCTGGTGCAGTACATTCAGTTGAAGCACATCATAAATGAGAGATTCAGCTGGGTGTTAGGTGAGTCTCTCGTCACAACAAAATTGGCATGCAAATGAATGTGTAAGTCGAGTTTCTTGTTTATGAATGTTGCTAAACCGAGAGTACTAACAATGCTTACCGAAGCTATTTGGGATAGCTGAATATCTGTTTCGGAACTTTGCGATTCCTTAAGTCGGCGTGGTGGTATAACTCGTGATTCGTCTGAGCTCTTCTAATAAAACTTAGTTAGGCCTCAAAATATCGGTAGTCGGTCTGTTAGAATTCAAGGAAAACTGGAGAGGCTGACAGTGCTTCACTTTCGTTGTCTGTATACAGACACTGATACTGGTTTTGACATTAATGAGGGTAGTGTTGAACTTAGATTTCCCTTCAGATCTATCTTCGAAATCCACCGTCACCTTTTTCTCAATGTTCGTTTGGCCAAGGAGGGCTTTCACATTCTTTCTATCTGCTTTTGAGATAAGACAGGATGTCTCTCCATAAATATTTCATTACATACTGTTCTGCAGCGCTTAGATTCAATGCAATCGGTCGCTATCACACCAAAATGTGGCCAGTCCCTAGTCTTACTTCAATTACAGCGTAACGAGCTATTTGCACAAAAAAGGCTTTCACTGGATATTAAAGTCTGGTCCTTTTTCTATAGCACCTACATCTCCTATGGACTTGGGTTTCTCGAAGGTAGGTTGGTAATGGAATCATCCGGTGCGATTCGTGGAGCTGAGTAGCAACATTCTGAACAACCTCTCAAACTTTTTCTCCTGAATCTCGTGTGAATTCAAGAAAAATTTATTGTCTGTAGTAGATGACGTGCATGAAGCAGGTTCACAAATTTTCACGTAACAAGGAGGTCACCTACGGTGATCGAAACGATGGGTTATGAAAAGTCTATTCTTAACGTAGCTTTTCCGCCAAAAATCAACCCGAAAATGTCACACAACACGCAACCTGATCGACATCAAATTGTAGTGATGGCCTCTTGTTTGTTCGTCCAGCTGGTAAGTTTGGTTGCAAAAACTTCAACAACAGTAGAGATGTCATCATCATTTGGAATCACTAGAATGTAGATATCCTAAAGCAGTGTAAATTATTTAATGCTCTATATCTTTCCTTAGGATTCGCCAAATATCGCCTAGAAGGACACAAACGTTACGGCGAGGCGTCGATCACTTAGGAGTACTTGTGGGAAGTAGGTGAACGATCTCACTATCTCTACGGATACCTCAAATTCAAAGGCTTGGCGTCGTCATCAACAGCGTCAATCATATTTTATCATTTATTTTTGAAGAGCATGGTCACAAACATAAAAAGTGAATGCAAACTATGAATGCGAAAGAGTAACAGGAGAATATGGGAGAAAAGGGAGAAACGTCTCATTCGAAATCATGCCGTGAACAGTGCCAGTCTGATGAGGTGAATCCCAAAGTATGTAAAGATTTTGGTATGGGAACATGCGTCTAAAGACCAACAACCAAAGAAAGGACAAACAATGGTCAATACTTTGTACTCCAGCTGCCAGAACTTCGCTAAGCAAGGAGGAATGAATGCAGGAGAAATGCTGAACACCGAATACAACGGAAAGTATAACTCCACTGATGACGGTATATTGATTACGGACGTCATTCGTTCGTGTGGGATAGAGTAAGTACGTGGTGCAGACAATAGTTTAAACACAGGGATGTCATTAGGAATTCGACTAGACCAACCTTCAGTATCTCTAATCGTCGTCGTCATCATCATCAAGTAAGTCGTTCCCACAGTAGCTAGCTGTGCCATTACGGATTTCACGCTACATTGCACAACCCAACTACACATACGCCCCTTCTGTGTTGTAAGTTGTGCGCGTGCTCACATTACCGTGGGGCGAAGCCACGCTTAATTTACCCGGGTCGTCCTCTGCTAGTGTTCGGCAAACCTGTGTGTAGGATCAGAGAGCCATCAGGCCAATGCTATGAGGACTTTCGTGGCACTCGTGTACAAGGCCAAAGGCATCCACCACACCACGTCTTGAGAGCGGTTCCTTCTAGCACCGCCAAGAAACGGCG